AACGTCATCCTAAAAACATTTTATTTAGGCCTTCAAAAAGTTGACGACTCTACATGTTTCGAAGTTATAACGTCATCCTAAAAACATTTTATTTAGGCCTTCAAAAAGTTGACGACTCTACATGTTTCGAAGTTATAACGTCATCCTAAAAACATTTTATTTAGGCCTATCTATGGCCTTCAAAAAGTTGAGAACTACATGTTTCGATGTTACAACGTCATCCTCTTTGAAGGCCATAGATAGGCCTAAATAAAATGTTTTTAATTGTGTACCAGTTTAACGTTGAATATTATTTATGATTTAAGTTTATACACAAGTGCCAAAATACTATAACTATGCAGTGAATTGTATAGTGAGAGTACACTACTATACAATGTATTTATTGTATGAGAGTACACTACTATACAATGTATTGTATACAGAGAGTAAACAACTAACTATACAGTGTATTGTATAGAGAGACTAAACAACTATACAGTGTATTTATTGTATGATGAGAGTACACTACTATACAGTGTATTGTATGAGAGAGTACACTACTATACAGTGTATTGTATAGAGAGAGTACACTACTATACAGTGTATTGTATAGAGACTAAACAACTATACAGTGTATTTATTGTATGATGAGAGTACACAACTATACAGTGTATTTTATAGACTAAACAACTATACATTGTATTTATTGTATGATGAGAGTACACTACTATACAGTGTATTGTAAGATGATAGTACACAACTATACAGTGTATTGTATAGAGAGGGTAAACAACTATAGTGTATTTATTGTATGATGAGAGTACACAACTATACAGTGTATTTATTGTATGATGAGAGTACACAACTATCCAGTGTATTGTATAGAGAGAGTAAACAACTATACAGTGTATTTATTGTATGATGAGAGTACGCTACTATACAGTGTATTGTATGATGAGAATACACAACTATACAGTGTATTTATCGTATGATGAAAGTACACAACTATCCAGTGAATTTTATATTGAAGTACACTACTATACAGTGTACACTCTCTCCACTACTGTCCAGTGTATTGTGTAGTGAGAGTACACTACTATACAGTATATTCTACAGTTACAACACCTTTTAAATGAAAGACTTAAAAGATCCTCTCCAAAT